GCAGGGAGAAGTTACCAGAGAATGTGCTCAATGATGTCAGTCATCTTGATACGGACTGGAAGGGCACCCGAGGTTTTCGTACATAATTTCCAAGCCTCTACAAAGGAGATATGCTGCTGTTGATTCGAAAATTAACTGATAGTTGACTAAAGCTTGGAGAGTTTAGAGCCGCGATGAACATGAATCAATCAGATGCCTCTCGAGTCTCAGGAAGGCTATTGATGAGGCTGAGGGGCTGAGAGCTGACAACTAGCAAAAGCATACTCCCCACTCGTTGGACTCGTATCACTGCATGTGTGATGCAAGTATACCAGACCAGATCTGATTTCTGACATGTTGGGCTGGTACTGTCCTTTCAGCAATCAGATTCAGATCCATCCAGTTTCAGATCTGCCGTTCACCCTGATCCTCAAGACCCGTCTTGTACGGAGTACCAAAACATCTTATCATCAGTCTAGTAAGATGCTCGATGGGCAAGTCACCGCGAATCACATTAATTTGAGGAATGTTGAAACTCACCTACATCCATATGCAGATAGCGCCCATCGCTTAACACCACATGTCTTGACTTGCTCCACACTGAACCGGGGAACTGGCAACAATGGCCTTGTGCTTGCTTAGATAATTACATAACATGTTACTCCGTAACCCATATGCAAAGATCCATAAAGCGCTCCTGCGAGTGTACTCTGGCCTCTGGGGAAGAAACTTATGTCTCATACAACGGAACAATAGGTATTCTAGTAGGTAGTATTGTTAGTATTGCCAACAAGATTCAAATCTTCAATCTCATCAATTTTTGCCGGATCGTGGATCCGTGCTCCGTAGTATCTGAGACATTTGATAAGAATAAACTGATGAAAACTTTTGCACTATGCTTGACTGGAGCAAGTTTCAGACCAAAGCTCACTTACCCCTGTCTCATAAGTAGATAGCCATTGGATAAACTAGTCCCTGTTACAGAGTACTAATGCGTATAGCACAAGCATTGACCAGATGAATAAAATTCGAATTCCTATCACCAAGGGTGTCTGATTATGATCAACCAGCATACATCACCCCGATAATCCTTATCTCCAGGCCAAGCTACCCACCACTAACTTGCTATTTTGCTGAAAGACCCACGCAATCCCCTCCACATACAGCATGGTTACAAATAGGCCGCAGATCCACGTAAGGAATTCCCGCGCGATCGACGGGCCCTTCACGCATTTCTATTCGTGCTCTGCGAGTAGGTATCCCGTGCGGCGGGCGATCATGACAGTCAACCAGTTTCAGAATTGAGCGGTGTCAATCATTTCAATCATCCATATCATTGACCCACAGATGGCGAAGTGTGCTTGGTGTATCATGATTTGATTCCAACCACTTGGTTGTAGACAGTTAAGTTCTCGAGTATTGTAGAGTATGGTATGATTTGTCTTGATTGCTTGAAAAGCTTAAATTCAGTGTCGCCATCATTGTTTTTATCTATGACATGTTGTAGCCTTGTAGGAGCATTGACACATAATGCAATATCGAGATCATCATTACTAGTTCTTCCATGTTTGTGGGGTAAGTTCAGGTCCAACGGTCAATCATGTGCAGGAGTACAGCTCATGCGTACAATGCCATGATCAATTCAATTCCCTCATATGCTCCACGATGTTACATCACGCCCGGTATGAATACCTCAGATCATTTTTGGTGAACACACAAATACTCAATCGCTCTTAGTTGGAGAGAAAAGGTCTGGCTTTGATTGTCAGACTCACAAAGTCATGGATGTAGACTGCTCGTGATATATTTTGGCGGGGAAGGTATGCAAATATATATTGGCATGGTTCATAGCTGAACCTCAATCATCTTTTCCATCACTATGCCAACTGATGGCTATCTGAATCATCAGAAAATTTTCAATTCTTGAGTGAATAATGACCAAACTAACAACCAGTGCGATCGCGGACACGGAAATGACAAAGAGGTCATTTCTCATGCTGAGTGGATGTAAATTTGCCCGATGCGGCTATGGCGGTCCAACGCCAGGCCAAAGTCAAAACTACGTTAGTCTGGTATCCAGTTACATATTTACTAGAAAGCAAATAAAACCACGAAAAGCGGTAGAAATATTTCATTATAAGGAGATAAATCGATACTATGATAATTAATACGTGAATGGTAGCCATGTGATGCTGTGCTTGCTTACACCTGGCTTCTGGATCAAGGTAGAACAAACAAGAAAACAACGTGTCAATGTTCCTTACATCATTCACAGATCGATTCAGGAACGTCAAACACATGATAGGGCCGAGGTAAGTGGCAATTGTTATTAAGGTAGCTTGGGTACCTTGCTTGGAGAGTCTATCTGTCATAGACTACCTAACCATAAGTGCTACCGTCCAATGGCCTGTGTCTTCCCCTCATCCAACTCGGCGAACTCGGTAGTCGGTACGTACACTACTAACTTACAGAGTACCATTAACTGGTATCTACTAGATATTTGTGGTGATAGTTATGTAGGCCAGCGGTGAGTGCGCAATGACAAACTTTAAAATCTTGCTTAGGATGGGGGTTCTGAAAGGACGGGTCATAATCCCAGTAAAGTGGCAGCATGGGGTGCAGCACTAGAGTCTTGACTCTTTGAGGGGATTTGACGAGGCGTATAATATCCGGGGAACCAAACTGTGGAGTACAATGACGCTGTCAGACTTAGTTCGGTATGGGCCCAAGGGCTCTTCTTCTCTTCAACTAATGATCCAATATACAATGCTCTATCTAGCACTTGTCATCAGTGTAAATAAAACCGACGATGCCGCATGATCAGATCGTGGAAGATTCGAGGCATTCCTAGAGTCGACAACGTCTATCCTAATTCAATCCGAAGTGGACATCCAGATCAAGGAACATGCGCCGCAGATTCCGAGTCCCGGTCGAGAACAAGGCAGCCAGGCATCCCACTGGATTTCATTTCTAGCCTGATAATTTGACAGAAATGATGTCCTTAGTTCGGAAATCAAGGCCAATATAAATGACACAATTCAATTTGGATATATTATGCTCCAAGACACCTGTCAAGGAACCTTGAATGCTCAGCTGTCAAAAACTCAATATGAAACCATCGCGATAGACTCCGTTCGGCGCCGAGATAAGATCGGCCGTGTTCATCCAGGGTGAACAACAATCAACCAAGAACAGTCGTACTTTTGCCTATCAAGTAACCAAAACAATTATTCTGCTTCCGTCTGTCAGATGACCTTTAGAAAGAGAATACGCAGTATCGATGGTACACCTCGGCGGTAGACATTCAGTGCTATGACCCGCGCTAGCCAGCTAGGACCATGCTCAGTCTTAATGCACATTTCTGCCAGTCTCATTAGCGGGGCGTCTTTCCCCTATCTAGCGATAAATTCACCTAATTCAACTGTTAGAGTAGTAGCCCCAGGCAACACGGAACTAAGCGACTGATTATCCGAATTCTAGGTTGGTCTCGTCTGCAGGTGGCTGCAATGGGAAAGACCACCAAGCGGGGTTGCTTAAATGGAGTATTAAGGTATGTATCATGGTACGGAGTAGTCTACTTAGTCTGCGCCGTTGTTGTCTGTCATGGCAATTCACCAGAGAGCAACTTGAGGCCTAATGCAGCTCTAGATAGAGAAGTAATTTCAGTCTTGCAGAGAAAGCGACGTACGAAAATCGAGTCGTGCCGGCATCAGAAGCATTTTCTGTAGATTAGACCCACAGAATATTCACATGAACTCAGTTCTTCGATTGCGTACGCCTTTAATGCACTCTTTCTCTGGTACGACATAAGACATGCATAATATCTAAAAATAGAGAGGCGAAACAGTGATGTGGGCTTCAAATACATACTTCATAGGACAGAGCCATCAGCATCAAAATTGCACTTTCGAGTCGATCGAGTCAACCGTCAGAAGATTGATACTCTATCTGTATGCTGAGAGTACTCCTACGTAGTGGTCTGCTCTGGCCACCCCGATATCCGAGTCTAGACTGATTCCTTCGAGGTTCTAGAATGTCCTCCTGTCAGCATGAAGTGATGTAATAGAGACTCGATCTGCTGGTTAAATTTCTAAAGGAGCTAGCATATGCTTAAGTTTGCTTGAAGGCGTTCTCATGCTGCAAGCTTGACCTGGACACCCTGTCCTGCTTGTGCTTGGTGTTGGTGGGCAGCACTGTCGCGAAGGTAGACGCTTGTATTACTTTTATGGTCGTCTTTACTACGTCAGTCTGAAGGTGATGCATCTTTGCAACAGTATACCTGACAATGATGCCATAATCTTGAGATATCTCCAATAGTTTGCCCATCGATGTTTCCAGTTATAGGGGAAGAACGTGAGATTGGATAAAAGTATTCATCTTGTAGATATGGATGGCACTGATACAAATGGAATACACAAGCAAAAGCATCATAGACAACATGATCAAAACACCTCTTTAGGGCATGTCATGCAGACTGCTTGGATCAATGCATCAAGATTTAATTGTACTGTCCATCTGTATGCCACTTTCGAAGCTACTGACAGATAAGCCGACAATACCGATGTCGAGTGATCAATAAGTAGCAGACAAAGACTTGACACTCATCTCTTGCTCAGACCAGATGCTTCTTCAATTTCATTGTCATGACCGCTGAACAATAACCATGATGGAACCTGAAACAGACAGAGACAAAGCAACCTCAACTACAGAGACCAGGACAATAGAGCATGATACACTACACGCCCCCTTTATAGTCAGCAACACATCACTCACAGTGAGCTCCTTGTCCACTCGCTGCCAAAGATCTCCCTTTATCTTCCTCATACCAACCCTCAACAATCATGTAGCGCACAATGATCTCAAGACCACCTCACGATCATCGAAGAGCATACAAATACTACCAGCAAGCCCCCTTCAGCTCTCAAGACCTCATCGGCAGCTGACCACCTCTCCAACGGGTCTCTAATAGCAAAATGTGCCATTTCTCGATCTTCTGGCACAACTGTGACCATCTTATCCCCATGACCCTCACCTGTCCCTTCCAGGACCTCCCATCCCACACCACAGAACCAACATCAACTGCCCTCCTCGGCGACCCCTGCCCCCTCTGCAGACAGCAATACCTCCCAAACAAACAAATCCTCACCACCCACCAGAGTCTTCTAACCGCACAAACACTCGCCTCCATCCTGAATGCCTCCGTCGCGCAACCAGGCTTCCTAGACATGGTGGCCAGATTCTTCGCCCGCGGCGACCACAAACGGTTCGACCAGCCCGGCCCCGAAAAAGCAGTCTATGACCAAAGCGACGAATACCTAGACTCCCTTGCGGAGGAGTCCCGGCTAGCCGTACAGACTCTAAGCCTAAACCTAGACCTGGATGATCAGTGTGATCTCGCTCCAGCTCCAAATTCAGATCCAGAGGCGCAGGACGGGCACGAAGAGTCGAACATGTCCACGCCGACGGCGACGGCGTTAGCAAGCTGGGACGGGCTGAACTGGGAGGGCCGGAATGAGCACCCCTCAGCAGGGTTCTATTACTATTCAACTGGGTCTGGACCGAAGACTGGAACCGAGCAAGCGCATACGCCTACGCCTGCATCTCAGCAACCGCTGGCAGCTGGAGGGGCAAGTGATATTGCTGCTCACAAAGGCGACGGCGACGGGAAACCGGCGTGGAATGGAGCTCGAGACCAGCTGCAAGCCATGACGGACGTAGTGCCATATACGCCTATCCCTGTCAAGATACCGATTCACGGCTCAACTTGCGCTCTTGCGGGGAGTGAAAGCAATCGGCGAGGGGAGTCAATGGATGCTTCCTCTCCGCATGCGCCGCGCAAGAGGTATGAGATGCCGCGAGCCATCCTCGTAAGGCGGATTACGCAGCGGAGGAATGGTAAGAAAAGGCAGGAGATGGTGTCGATCGGGAAGTCGCCGCTGGCGCGGGGAGAACACCATCGCAAGAGGGACAAGAGAGAGGAGTGATACTGTGTGCTCGTTGAGCATACTGCCGTAGCCATGCGCGGGCGCATAGGTGAATTGTTTTCCCTTTTTACGGCGTTAGGAGGCTATGATACCATTGCTTTTTTGCAAACAGCGGCCTAGGCGCTGAGATTACCCGAGAGATCAGACTGGCTCAATCAATTCTTTTCTATAACGTAGCGGTATCATCAAGATCAGCGTCTGTGCCGTCATTGGACATCAAGACATAGATTTTCGTAACGTCAAGGGGCCATTTGCCCAAGTCAATCAAAACCCTACCTCGTCGTTGCCATCGCTGAATTCTTCGGAAACATCCATTCCTTCGCCGTCTTCGTCATCCAAACCCTCAAAGACCATAAACTTTTCGTTCTTCGCGTCTGTGTCCTCGGGGACGATGTTTCCATCCTGGATCTCGCAGTCCTTGAGCACACTCTCGCGGCCGATCTGACTCCGCCGGCCCACGATGCAGCCAGTCAGTTGACAGCGTTCACCGATCACGGCGCCATCCATGATCAGACAGCGCGTCAAGCGGGCACCGCTGGCGATGTGACAGTTGGCGCCAATGACGGATTCCTTGATGACACACTTTTCCTCCACCGTGACATTATCGGCGAGAAGACAGTCGGCCTTGGTGACCGTGCACCTCTGAGCAACGCCGGCCGGATAGGCTACCTTTTGGTTATGAGCGAAAGGAGACGCGGCTATGCGGCCGACCTCCTCGATGGACTCGAGTTTGGCTAGACGGAGGGACACGGACAGAAGCAGCGCCGATGTATCCACACGTCTGACCAGCGGTGCAGACGGCAGCGAGGAGTGAACGTATGCCAGCAACGGGGGCACGGTGAGCTTGCCTTTGGATGGCTCCGGCGACGCGATGCTCATATCAGTACCGGATCTCTTTACCCGAGACGCGAATTGCACGGTCTCAGAGGGATCGTCTGACAAAGCGTCGCGTGATGTGCCGGCTCCCGCTTTGGTGGTGCTCATCGCTTTGAGATCAATTTCCTCTTCGATATGCTCGCCGTCCAGACTGCCACTCTCTGCGGCTCCACGTCCCTCTGGCTCGAAAATCTCGCGCAGCCGAAGCTTCTCCGCTAGACCCTTCTGCCACTCAGCCTTGGCCCACCAACCGACAAGATCCTCCCCAACGCTCTCGAACTTTTCATTCAGCAAAGCCATCTCCTTGACCCAGTAAGGAAATACGTAGATGTGGGCGTCGCGGTAGGTCGTCAACATCTTCACCTGCGCGTGCTTCTTCACCAGCGAGTGACGGATGAGAAGCCCTTTTTCCTCTTCCATCCGTTCTTTCAGTGTATCCATAGGTATCGAGAGCACTAGCTTTGACAGCCCGTACCGGATCGAAACAGGTCCGTCCGAATTATGAGAGACTGCTGGAGCTTCCTCCTGCTCTAACGCTGTGGTAGCCACAAAATCTGTCACCTCGCCCTTGACGCTCTCTTCCCGTCCCCTAGTCTCATAGTAAACTCCGAGACCGCCCCGGCGGCCGCCTTGCTCACCACCCATTCCAATGCTCTTAGGTCCATTGGAATTCCAGCCGCCGCTGATAGTAGAGCCACCCAGGGCGCTTTGGGTGACCATCCATGCCTCAAGGAAAGATTCTCCTGGCAAATCGCAAATGAGGTCACAGGGGAGAAGGAGGAAGTCGGACTTGATGCATGACTGAACTTCGGGGAGACGTAGTAGCTCCGCGGTACCCGTGGTCAAGGTAAGGTCTGTGGGAGCGAGAACGGAAGGTGAAGGTGCCGGAAGAGATGTGAGGTGAGGGTTTTGCGAGAGAGCAGCTTCTAATGGAGCTTGACTGGCGGGGGGTGTGATAAGAGTGATATCTTCACCTCGGTTAGAACAAAGTACCGGTGCTCGACATTAGGGCAGGCGAATGTTCGTATCACTCAACGCTGATTCGCAATTACTCACTTGTTATGCCCATCCGATAGCACCAATCCAGAGGATACCATACCATAGGACGGTTTGCGATAGGTAACAATGCTTTGGGAAACTCTTCAGGATTGGAGGTGAATGTGTTGAGAGAAACGCCAGGTCCGCACAAAATGAGGGCCTGAAAGCCCATCTGGGGCACAGGAATCGAGTGCGGCATTGCGAGTTGCTTGCCTTACAAGCGCCTATGACTGACCGAGTCGTTCTAATTGTAGGAATGGTGTCGAATGGTGCAATGATCGGGTTGAAAGGTTCACCGCGGGGAAGAGGGGAGAAAGACTCGTCGTATATGCGATGGTTGACCTCAGACGCGCATAACCTGCTAGGGTGCTTGAGTATTCAGGGGTTCATATATATCGAGTCGTAAAACTCAGCGAAGGTGTTGTTTCTGTCCGCCCTGTGACTCAACCTGACATGCATGGGAAGATTGTACCCATCTTTTGTTAAACAAAATCCCGCCGTCACGTGCCGATAGCTCTTTGTCGCTCCAAATCAGCCAAACACCTTTATGCCCTAAGTCATGATAACGACCTTGTCACGTGTTGATAAATATTCAGCAAACAAAATAAACAGGTGCAAACAGGGCGGGCTCGCATTAGTCAGGTACCTTAGGTAAGGTACGTATTGTAACTAACTAATTAACAAGCGGGAAAACACCGCGGTAACCAGGACATCACCAGCCACATGTTTCTCGGCTCGTCCGAGGCCCAGCCTTGAGAGCTCTCTTTCACCCTGCTTGCTCCGTTAACCAACCACCCTTTTTCTTCTCATGCAACCTTGAGATGTGATCATTGTACACCATCGCAATTGGATTGACTTCTATGCGCCCGCCATCTATCATCTCTCAGTGCCCGCAATGTCTTTCCCATATTCCCAGGATGCTCGTCGGCGGCGGGTTGGAGCTGGTACCGGCTTCAGCTCCTCAGGGAGACGAACCGTCATGGGGTACTGGGTGCCACTGGCTTTAACGGTCGGCATCGCAACGATTGGCATAGCTGTATGGATTTGGAGCGAACGCGGTGATGATGACGATAGTAATGACGAAGGCGAATACCCCCTGGACGACTCGAGGGATGTCCGATACCCCCCGCCGGGCGCGGAGGGAACCCCAGCCGGCATTGACGGCGGATATGCCAGGTCGACCGGGGCAGATATCCATGGTGACGACGTTGGTATGATGGCTCGTATGCAGGGTGCTTTGCGGCGCACACCGAGCCCTCAGCAGATCTTCGATGGGGCCAGCAGACGGGTCGTGGCCGGTATGGCTGCGGCGGGCGCATTCATGGGCAGCGCTCTCACATCAATACGTGAGGAGGATCGCGGTGACTTTGAGGACCACTCGCGATGGTCTGAAGAGGTTCGGTCGAGGACTACTCAGGAAGAAGCTCAACCTGCCGCAGCAGCTCCGACGATGAGCGGAGCGCTTCCCACTCGCAGCGCGGTGAGCGGCCCTCCTGCTCTCGACAAAAAGAAGAAGACGGTAGCGATTGTGGTCTCCTCCGAGTTGGCAGATCACGACCCTGACGACTTCTCTGAGCACGCGGTAGGTTCTTGTTGGCTCGATGTCATGGAATATCGCTGACAACCTACGAACAGTCTATTCTTTCTCACCTCCCTGAACATGTCGACTCTGAGACCGCAAAGGTCTTCGTTCTTATTTATGCGCCAGGCCTGAAGCATGCACCCAACCAGGGCGGTTCATCCAATCCTACTCTCTCCGTTACATCATCCTATTCTAACATCGCTCCTGAGGAGGCCAGGTCGCCTGGGGAAGCACCTAGCGGCGACCTGTCCACTCTCGAACCTCGCCCAGCTGATGAGCAGGAGGGCGCCACACCATTGTTCCGCACTTTATACACGCAGGCGCAGGCCATTGTCGACAAGGAGAACGCCATCATGCCGTTTAGCACTGCGACGGGATACGTACACCTTGTGCGCCATCTTTCGCCCGACATTGTCTACGTCCAGGAGTCCTTGACAGGCAAACAAGGCGATGCGGTCCAACACATTTCTGGCTGGGTCCGACAAGTCGTGGTTGTAGTTGGAGACGAAGGCGGCCGAGGCGGCCTAATCGACAGTGAAGATGAATCAGTACTTGCAGAGAAAGGTGAGAAGTGGTGGCAGAAGGAGGGAATGACGGGTATTGGCAAGCGGATTGACGTGGTCGATGTCCATCGCACGGGTGAAGACTGGCGACGAAGAGTGTCTGGCCACGACTGACCTTACGCATCGCGAAAAGCTGGGATGATTCATTCGAATGTTTCTTCCGTGCACTTATCCAATGTTTGATGATGACTGTGATTGATTCCCCCTTACTGATGAATTTCTACGTGACCGTAATTTTAGTGTGCATATTGAACAATGTCATTATTTTCACCAACCCTACTCCTTGGCCTTGTAGTCACGGATAGATTTTTCTCTTCATAGATCTGAGGATAGCTTTCACGCAATGTGATACTGTGGAAGCGCCGGGCTCTCTACCTAAAGTCCACGATCAGTGGCGCTCAGGGTCAGCGCTCCCCAACATCCAATCCCAACAACCTTCACAAAGTTTGCGACATCTTTACGCGCCAGGGGAAAAAAGAGTTTGGGATTGAGCCTACTGCCATCCACTTCAGACTGGTTCTTCATGAAAGTTCTGCAGGATATACTGTCATAGGTCAGCGTCCGACGAATGAGGATCGTCTGCATCAGCTCGGCGGCTACAGTACTGCGGTTGCTAATGGCAGGACGTTTCGACGGGAAAGAGGATGGGCTCGGACGCAAGTTCGTCAGTGAGTTTGAAGAATCGTATATTGTTTTATGAAGGGTGATAATGCTTAAATGTGTGCTGATTCCTCAGGTTTCCTCATCGTTGTACCCTCCCTGGTGGACCGCGCTTCGTTCTTTGCTCAATACTTTTACTTCAGTCTTCTGGCAAGACGTCTCGCATTTTCACTCATTTATTGCTATTTACTGAAGTGATACATTCTATTCTTGTCCTTGACTTTGCTTCCGAATTCTCAAAATGGAGGCCGCATTGTCCCATCCTGGCTCAGCCGCAGCCTCATACACCGTCTCCTGCGCCTCGGACCACGAAGAATCAACCTTTCTCAAAAGAAACCACCATCTCCGCTGGGCCCAACTCGCTCTATCCGTGGTCTGCCTTGGTTCTGCCCTCGCAATCGTCGGCTGCGAAGCCGTACCGTTCCAGCACTACCAGAGCACCTCTGGGTACGAACAAGCAGGACTGGCCCTGTGGCCATTGAACTTCGATCTCCGACCAACGATCGCGATTTTGTCTAGTGGCTGCGTGATCGCAGTCCTCAATCTCATCTATATCGTCGCCGTCCTCATCCCTTCCGTGAGTCGTCGTGCTAACCTGTAGGTAATCCTGAAAACACACTGACATAGCCAGCCCCATTCCCATATCCGGCGGCTCAACATCCTCGCCTCGGGAACGGCAGTCGCGGCCCTCATCGCTGCGGCAGTCGGACTGGCATTTGCGATCTATCTCCCGCAATCCACGTATCCTGGTGGATTTTCGCACAATGAGACACTGCACTCGTGGACATGCAAGTGGAAGGCCATGCGGAGCGTCGCCTCGAGCGAGTATGCTTCGTTACATGCACCGACGCATTTCGAGCGGGATTGTCGGGAGACGCGGGCAGGATTTGTGCTTCTTGCTCTGTTGATCGGGCTCGAGGTTGCCGGTGGTGCGGTCGCTGTGTTTGGAGTCTGGCTTGAGCAGAACGTATCCCGGCAGAGGAGTTTTGGCGTGCAACTGGAGAAGGTGACTGCTTTGACGAAGAATTCAAACGGGGTGTGATACACTCAAATTCACTGGGGTGTGTCGTTATGCTGTGCAGTACTTTCATGGATGTCTCCTTTTGTGATAATGGTAAGCGATGATCGAATGAGAGGTTTGGATTTCCTACAATATTTATTTATTTATTTAATTTCATATTGATTTTCGCCTGTTCTTGAAATTTACTGAACGCATAATCAAACTTTCAAGAAGCCGACGGCGGGTCGGATATAACGTGGCAAGCTATCATCCTCGGCTCCCCACATGCTCATCATGATTTAAAGTCGCAGTAAGAAAGTAATCATGGATGAAGATGAAATAATCAAATTGCATCATCTGAATTTGTCAGTTTAGTAGAAGCGAACGCCATCATACACCATGGGCAAGAAAATCGAATGTTACCTTGACTGCGGTTGGTCCCCGGCCATCTCTCATTAACCTACACAATTCTTCATCAATGCTAACAAATCCAAATAGTATCACCCTACAGCTTCTACGCTTTCACTTATCTCCAGCAAAATGCAGACGCGCTCGCATCGCTTGGTGTAGAAATCGAGTAGGAGGCCCTCCCTTCTCCGCCGAAACATAATCTCACATAGCCTAGATACATCCCCGTCTTCCTGGGAGGTATCAACGTAGGAAGCGGTACGCCTGTCCCAAATATCCCCTGATCCTAAAGTACTCTGACCAGCAAAAGGAAACAAGCCGCCATGGACTCTCCCCGCCAAAGCAGCCTACTCGACGTACGACGGCAAACGCGCCCAAAAGTACTTCGGGCACAACTTCGAAGTACCCGCGTTCTTCCCTATCCTCTCGCTTCTCGTACATGCCATGCCCTCTGCTATTGAAAGGAAGAGAAACTAACGCTGTGCGAACAGCCCCAACGAGCACTCACATACATCAAGCGCCAGCACGCCAATAGACTCGTCCCGGCTTTCCTCGCCTGCTTCGAGACGATGTGGAACGGCCACCTGGATATCTCCAAGCCGGAGAATCTAGCCAAGGCACTGGGGAAATTCTTCTCCGGGGCTGAGGTGGAGGAGATACTGGCTGCGGCGGCGAGCCCCGAGATCAAGAATGAGCTTACGGCGACGACAGAGAGGGTTGTCAAAGAGCTGGGGGCGTATGGCTGTCCGTGGTTCTGGGTGACTAATGGGGAGGGGAAATCGGAGCCCTTCTTTGGGAGTGATCGCTTCCACTACATGTGGGATTTCTTGGAGTTGCCGCATGAGGATTTAAGGCTGAAGGTTGAGGGAAAGGCGAAGTTGTAGTTGAATGACAGGAACATTGTCCCTGGATAGTGTGTATAAAGCTGGATCTATGAGCTTGATGAGCTGATGTGAAAGTTTTTCCTTTGAAATGTTCTTGAAGGCTGGATCCCAATTTGTCTGTCAGTTTGTATCCATTCATTTGTCTGCCTATATGACCCTTCGCAAGTAGTGAAGGGGTGGATTATCCTAGCACCACAGTGTCTTCCTTCAAAGTCCCTGAGTGCCTTAAATATGTTGGACGGTACGGACGTCATGTATTTTTCCTATTTGCCGAACTTTGAACATAGAAACTTGTGTGCTAGAGAGGATGGAACTACAGCTTGGCCTTTCTCAACTTCGTACTATCCACCCGCATACCCTCATCGTCCTGCTCTGCCACCTCAAGGACAGGCAACTCCTTAGGCATGATCCGCCGTGGCTGAGACCCAGGGACAACAGCGTACTTGGAGAAATCAGAAACACCGCAATGGTCGCGCAGGAAGTCCTCGTCGAGGACCAATTGGCCGTTCACGATGCCTGTGGGGCTGTTCAAAATACCCAGAACAGCATCGGAGAAGATCGTCTAGTCCTCTTAGCGATACGTCATTCAGCGCGCGAACGGGTCTACTCACAGGCTTCCTGAGATCGGCTTTCCGACTGGGATCTTCATTCGTGGTCGCCTCTGTGGCGGCTGATTCGATGGACTTGGAAAGAGAGTGAGTATATGCAATAGCAGAAGGTCAAGAAACGTACCACTGCAGGCCAGATACTGGTGATGGCCATATCCTTCGCCCCTTGTCTGATAAAATCCATGGCTAGACCCTTGGTCAGGACGCTCATTCCCACCTTGCCTGTGCCAATATTAGCCGCAAATACCTAGTGTGAAGAAAGGCAGACAAAATAGGAAAATATACCCATCGCATAAGCCGTCTTCCCCCGAAAGAACCGCGAGTAGATCGGCGGCGAGACGACAATAATCCGTCCTTTCCACCCATTCTTCTCAAAGTATGGCAATGCCGCCTGCACACTCGCATAAAGACCCTCTGGGTTCACTCTCTGCATGAGCTGGAACCGCTTCGTGGGCGTATTCGCCACAGAGGACCACCAGATCGCCCCGGAGTTGTAGACCAGGACATCGAGGCGGCCTGCCAGGCGAACCGTCTCGTGAACCAGGTTCTCGACTTGTTTCACGTCGCGGACGTCTACTGGGAGGGCGAACGCTTCGCCACCGGATTCTTTGATCTCTCGCTCGACGGTGTTGATGGTTGATTGCGAGGAGTTCGGATCCGGTGGGAAGGGGACAGTTGCATAGGCGTTGGAGGTGGTCTTTGCCGCCACGACGACTGGAATAGTGTCAGTGTCTTGTTTGAAGATTTGCCCGTCATTGGACATACCTTTGTAGCCGTTCTTGGCCAGGTCTACGGCAATCTGCCTGCCGATACCGCGGGAAGCGCCCACGACGAGAGCGACTGGTTTGTTTGATGGCATTTTTTATCTTTCCGTTGCCTGCAAATAAAGTACGTTGAGATCAGAAATGAGGACATGTCATGTTCAAATATCCGATGACACACGACAAAATGGTCGTTGCCCTCCACATCCTCGGTAGGTTGTAGTGCTCAACTCCGAAACCACCGAGCGCGGGTCGGCCCGTTGTGGTCACTGGTGATTTATTGATTAATTATCAACTGTGGCCAACACAAGTCCAGAGCCACCAGGACGATCTATTGATGGATGCCTGTTTTTATTCTGTAGAAGAGGTTCCTATTCTCTGTGGTGTGGACTTGGATCTCTAGCATCTTAAGGGCACAATAATGCCCTCCAACAAGTCATTGGTTTAATTCTATGCCAGAAATAGGGCGTTGATACAGCAATGGTGGATGCCACAAAATAATTGAGAAAATAAGGAGAGAAACACGCAGCTGGTAACTTTAAGATTAAGCCAAACATTAAGGCTGCCTTGTTTGTCCATCTCTCTACTATGGACAGTCAACTGCGAAAACAATACCCCTCTGCATCTTAAGAGGCAATAGGTAGGACACTGATGTACTCTCCTTCCTGGAGGTTGCAGATCATCAGTAATTACTACCTCTGGTAGATTGATAATCTATACGGGTTAGGTCTTGAATCGGCCCTACTCCACGGGGTTGAGCGGCCTCGATATAGGACATTGCGTGAGAGCCTAATGAAGCCTCTGCTCTCTGTAATCTCTTTGAATCTTCAGAAAACATCCAGTAGTATCAACGATGCCTATAATCGCAACTTTAAATATGCTTGGATGCTCCACGAAGATTCGAAGTAAAGGCTGTAGACGAGGAGCATCCGTACTCGATCTCATGGCTGACGAGATGTAGGCCATTGATAACGCGTCTCCATGGTATTTTGAAGGAGGATCATGATACGTCGTCTGATCGAGAATCAGGGGGAGCGCAATTACCAGCGTCGATTATTCTCCGTAAGCTCCGTAATACAGCTGAAGCGTCACAGTCATCAAGCAGCGGGTCAACCTCGGTCATAGGTGTAGAACGGTTCTGATCTGGAATGACGCCAGATGGCATACTTTCAACCCTTGCATTCAACTTGTTGTGGAGTGGGCCTTGGGAGCTAAATTGCTTCTGAGTTTCCCTCTGCAAAATCTGAAGGACGACCCTAGTTTGTGGTAGAATGACTTGCTGTAATTTAGGCCTTTTGAAACGCGTCGAAGATCTTAGGGGAGTGGAACTGTCGTTCTCGTCCCCTCGTGCACGTTTCCCGCACTTCTCTACTGCGACTGATAAAGTTCGCTCAAACTGTTCCAGGCCAGTCATAGTGCGAAAGAGCTCTAGAAATATTGCCGCAATGGGCCATGTATGAGAAAGTACTTGGAGCATGTCTAGGTTGGCTTCCAGATTCTGTCGGATGGCATGCAGGAGTGACGGTATTGAGGCTTCCATTTGGCTTCGCAGTGTGACGAAAGATACAACGGCGTGGCAGATTCTAACAGGTAAGCTCATTGTTAGTGACGACTAGAAAGGCCCAGACTTACATGAATGATGGCGTGTACGTTAGCTCGCCCTTGGACTGTAGGGTTTCCAGGATGGACACGATACTCGTGGCAGCATGAAAAGCTGAGCTTTGCGCCTCATTTGACGAGTCGGGAGATTGAAGAAGATGTAACTGGCACACAATGGTACTGCTCGAAGATCAGATCATAGTCTTTCCAGTGTTTCCCTGTTCAAACTCACTAGAAGGTCGAACACAGTAATGCAGACCAAAAACTATGACGAGACTGTCTCCACTGAAGCTCGGACGGACAAGAGACGAGCCAGTCATTCAGACCAAGCTCACATTGCGCAGCCCCCTTCATCCGACTATCCTCTGTCGACCTGGACGACAGCTTCAAGCACAGACCAAGGTCCATTAGTTGGCAGAGTTTCACGTACTGCATGAAGAAAAGAGCTGCTGTACGATCTGTTGAGCTATCATTTTGCTCATCATACTCAATAAAGTCGCTTTCTTTCAAAGGTTCAACCGTGCAATCTTCGGAATTGATGTGAAGAGGACGGCCGAATGCTGCAGCCACCGAGCGATCGCGCGTGTAAAGAGTCCACCATATCCGCTTCCAGATCCTTCTCTTCGTAGCAGACAGTGTTACGTAGTTCTCACTGCAAGTTGAATTGGAATTAGATCTCAAGGACGGCACCGGGTGACTTTTACCTCTGGTGAAGCCCGTGTTCCTGAGCCAAAGCTATTCCCAGACGACTCCAATAGAATATCCCACTTTCCGTGAGATCTATAGCACGTCAACACAATACAGATCAACGAGCTGAGCAATACCCTACCATCGGGGCCATCCCAGTACACGCCCAATAAGACTACAGCCTGGAGGACTGTAGTAGGATCTCTTTCGTATCCTGCATCATACAGAGCTTTCACTTTCTTGTAAAAGACGCGCGGAGAGATTACGCCGTTCCCAGAGCTCTGGCCATTATGGTGGAACCTCGACGCTACCATGAGTACGGCTTGAATTAAGAGGATTGACGGAGGGTTCTGAGGATTACGATATCGATGTATGAAGTCGTGTCGATCGATCACGGGCAACACTGGTGCGATCCACTTGAAGAACACATCCACGAGCGCATCGCAGACAGCCTGCGAAGGTAAATCGAAGGCATGTCGCTGATTCAGTATGTCCACGTCAAGTGGCTCCAGGTGATCAACTGTCTGAAGTCAATACCTTTCACAAATCCAAATGCAAGAGCTGTGAGCTACCTAAGATCGGATTTTTCGACGCATACTCATGCTCTGTGGATGATCTTGCGGATCTAGTCATTGACGGAACAGACTGCGGGCTCTCTCTGACGTCCCAACCGAGGAAGTCATTCTGAAACTGTAGACCTCGTTGCTCTCGTCCGCGTGCTTTTTTGGCATCCATTTTGGCCCGTCTAGTCTGATCATCTTCCGGTCAAGACGTGATGGTTACTGCCAACAACACATTTTATTTAGTAGGAGAATACGCCCTGAGAGATGGTGCGCAGTCTCAGTTCAAAAGGAACATCCTCGGCCTCTCTTCTCATGGAAACCCCCTGATTGGTCATCAGTATCCGTCAACTGGTCAGCGAGTTATCTCGCACACCGCCCTGGCAGAATCCGATGGTACATATTCTGCTTTCACGCCACCGTCGCTTTCATGTCGATCTCTACCAAGAGGCGTCTTCATATTTAGAGAACAAGATGGCATCCGAGCCTGCTGCCACTGTGGCCGACTTGGACATTGATAACGAGCAATACGACTCCGCCGAAGATGAAGATTTCCAGCTCGATCCTGATCAAGAAGATGCCGGCTTGACCGGCTCCGATAGCGACGATGAGGCGACAGAACCAGCAGCGAAAAGGCGCAAAACAGGGCCAAACAAGGCAGCCACTGAAGACAAAGAACTCGACTCTGGAGATGAGGCCATGATCCAGAAAGCAAAGGCGAGAAAGGAGGGCAAGCAAAGAGGGAAGAAGTCACAAGGCACAGCCAGCGATGAGGACGAAGACGACGTGGATTTCGATGACGATGATGAAGGTGGCCCAGGGGGCTTTGTACGGACGCGAGCAATGAGGATGCGAATGTGCGTTGAGCTTTTGCGCGGATTGTTCCCTACGTCCAGATGACTAATATTCATTTCTTGACAGGCAGGAAGAGCGAAAACCGCTGGCCAAGATTGACGGTGCTACGGTTGACGTTGATGCAATATGGGCGCAAATGAATACTTCAGATTTTGGTGCAGGCAATCTCTCTTCGCAGACCCAAAAGGACGCCACCCCTGTGAACGACGAAAGCAAGGGCACCGATACCGCCGAGAAACAGGCGCCCTCGCCCGATTCCAAACCTCAATATACGGAGGAGATGGTAAAGATCAAAAGGACCTACAAGTTCGCCGGCGAAGTCATCACGGAGGAGAAAATTGTCCCCAAAGACTCCGCCGAAGCGAAGCTTTTCCTCGCTAACGGCGAGAGCGCTGAGACCGTCACGGACGCCGACGTCGAACACGCCGCAAACGCAAAGGACGCGCTCAAGCTGCGCAGACCCCTCCGCAAGATTTCGCGGTTTGATCCTAATCCCACCGGGACGATCAAGAAGAGCTGGGAGAAGCAACTCACGGCCGAGATCACCGGCCAGACAGAGAACCTTAGCGGACCGAAGATCAACACCGTGGAAAAGTCTCGGCTGGACTGGGCTGCGTATGTGGACCAGGCTGGCATCAAAGACGAGCTCAAGGTTCATAGTAAAGCCAAGGAAGGTTTCCTTGGCCGCATGGACTTCTTGGATCGCGTTGTTGCCAAGCGGGAGGAGGAACGAAGAAATGCGCGGTTGAAGGGATTGTGAGACGTTTGAGTGTCTACGCTCTTACACCATTGCTCTTGCAACTTGTGTGTGCCGGGCCATCGTGGCCATAGCAGCTCGGAAGTATCACATTGCCCGTCACTTTCCCTTTGGCGGTTTCAAGGTGCAATGCTAGCCTGAATTGGCTCCCCACTCTGCTTCGCGAGCCGATACCGCAGCAGTCATGGTAGGCAGCAGGAGTGCACTCGGGAGATTTGCAGATCTCTTAAATCCTGTGCTGCTACGAGCACATTACGACATAACAAACGGACATTACCTGTCGACGCTTAGAAGGCGCGGCCTTACGTACGGGCACACAACAGTGCGCCGAGCCACATACTACATGGGAATTGTTGCAGGATACAACCGCAGGCAGAGCTATTCGGGTCCGGCAAACCCATTCGAGTTCGTGGTCATTTTAACCGCATCGTTACGTCCAGTAAATGTACAGACTGGCCATGATATGAGGATCGCGGCAATCACGGGTATTTCTGTCGTTGCGAGTCCCTTAAGGACTTTTGACTTGAGGCACCTGCACCATTTCGCTCCGTTCAACAGACCACTCAGTCATGACGAACTACGTGCTTTTCCTCCGTTCCACCAAACTTCCCAGATGGACATGTAGCATTACGGCCGCCGCTGGCAGGCTTGGGCATGTATTTAATGCCAGAAGAGGGGCAGGTAGAAGAGGAGACTATAGTCGTTTCAGGTCAGCTGTCGTCTATGGAACAGAGGATGTACAGACAACATACGCGGATCAGTAGGCACGTATTTGCCATTGATGAGATTGCCTTTGACATTGAAGAAGTACCAAGCTTCATTCAGCTCGCCGTTACTGCAGCCGACGGAGGGTTTATGGCCAGTGATTGCAGACAGAGCGGACAGGATGTCGCTCAATTTGTATGTCTTGGACGAACTGGGAGTGATGCCGGCAGCGGCAAGAGCCTAGACCGTTAGTCTCAGTATGAGAGTGACTCAATGTCTAATGCATACCTTGTACGTATCGAGGCCCTTGAAAAGATCGACAGCCTTTTGGAAATAATCACCGACCTCTTCCTGGGCCTTGTAGTCGGTGTAGCAGCTGGGCTCGATGGTGTTGATGCAAGTGCCTATATCATCATTAGTGTCTGGTCGGGATTGTCAGATTTGCAAAAACGAACCATGCTTGTTCCACTCGTGCTCCCAGAAGCTCTCGTCATTGCCTTTGTAGTCCTTCCAGTAGGTTTGCATGTAGGACAGCAGCTCGGTCCTGCCCTGCGCCTGGAGGATCTCCGTGATGTTTGAATACTCGCGAGACGAATCACAGAACTGCTCGTACGTGCCATCACAGTTGTCGGGCCTGGGTTTAATTGTTAGTGTCCATGTTGTACCATTTCCATTCTGCTCAGGCATACCAAAGTCCGTGGACAGTCCAGGAGTTCGAAGGACCGGCAGCTGGATTGGTGTCCCAGAATTGAGTCAAGAGAAGAGATCCTCCGGGATGATTGAAGCAGCAAGAGTCAGGCACCGCGGTGGTGTTGCTACAACTCACTGGGATATTCCCTGGGCAGCTCTGAAGGTTGTGGTTATGAAAACCAGAGGTAAGGTGCATTGCACCCAGGGCGAGCTTGCCCATCGACGGGAAATTGGTTGCGGGCATCTTAGCACGATGGACAGGTTGACAGGGATAGAAGAAATTAGGGGCGAGGACGAGCAGAGTTCAAAGATGGAACTACATCTCCTTAATATAGGCAATTTTTTTTAGTGTTGAAGACAGCCGACGCAGATACGACAGTGCATTACTACGAAGCATCGCTTCGTATCGCCAAGGGTTGATAGCAGCACATGTACTGATAACACGCCGCTGATTTGACGCCGGAGATTACCTCTGATTCAGGAACACAGATCAACCCAGCAACAAGCAATCGGACGTCGCCGTCAAGTTCTGGTTGCTCTTAATTCTGTTTCCATCCTTGTCGCTGCGGGGAGTCGATCAGATAGAGTCCGTCCAATCGTATGGTCTGGTTCGAATATGGAGTTGCCAGATTGTCCCTTAGCCGACGGGAGGCCTTCGGGGCAGCATCAGGAGCCATTAAGGAGTGGCTAGGACATTTTGATAATGTTGATGGTTGCTGATCTGGATTTCTTCGACTCCGCCGCTATGTATCAGAGATTCAGAAAGTTGCATCGAGTGCTCGTATTTCCTTGCAAATCCCTCTGGATGAAAGCGCAAGGGAAACAGCCCATGTGCAAGAAAGCTTGGGTAAACGAAGCAAGTAGCAGCCCTCGGACGAAGACGGCAGGTTAACTATCGGTCGGACTTGGCGTAGAGGAGTTCAATTCCTTTCAGCGACTAGATCGAAGTATCTTCTTAAAATGACCGATACTGAGGAAGCTGTGGTCGCTGAGGATAAAATTTATCGACGACATAGCAAACTTGTAACCAAATTGATTTAGGAGTCGTCAAAACATTGAGGTGATTGAAAGCAGGCGGTTGCTAGCCTGGGGGCCTGAGGCAAGCAAGGATGTTTGTCCTTTCCACCGAGGCATCATCATCAATCATACAGCTTGGTTCTAGATATTAACTATCCTATGTCACCCTCTGGCTGGCTGCGACAATATCCGCACATATGCGGTGGATTATCTACCCTGGCAACTTTGCCATCTGAACTGAGTCATACGGCGATCCGATACCGGCTCAGCAACATATCAACTCGCATCTGGTCCGGATAATATGACAGAGCAGTAACCAGCGAAGCTCTCTCTGACTATCATTCTGGGGCCCAGATTTGCAGGATATTTCAACCTACTCCGGTTTTTTGCCTGATGGCTCCCCCTAGCAGCTTCCAGATCGTCCCAGCTCAAACTGCCGAAGACTTTGCAACAGCTAGGACCTTGTTCAGGGCCTATGCTGAATCGCTCGGTATCGACCTCACCTTCCAGAGCTTCGAATCCGAACTACGCAACCTACCTAGCCAATATGGTTCTCCGCACGGAGCATTGCTGCTAGCTTACAGAATTGATCCTAAGATTGCGCTTGGCTGCGTAGCCGTTCGTCCACTCGTCGACAAAGGACATCACGCCGCGGAACCCCAAAGCGAAGTCAAATCGTGCTGTGAGATGAAGCGACTGTACGTGTCTCCTGAAGCACGGGGAATGGGTCTCGGAAAGGCTCTCGTGGATGCAATCATCCAGAGGGCCAAGGACTTGGGGTATCGTGAAATGAGACTCGATACTCTGCCGTCCATGGCTGGAGCGCAGCAACTCTATACACGTGCTGGGTTTGTCGAGATACAAGCCTACTATGAGACGCCTTTGGAGGGGACTCTTTTTCTCGGATTAGATCTTAATTGATTTGTCAGGGTTTGTGCGCTCTATATACTGTGTTATCAAGGAAGCAGGGTCGCGGTACTATCTGGAAAAGTACAGTAATAAACGGATCCATCCAGACTCAGACTGTTGAGCTTGATTTGATATTTGGTCACCCACTGCAGTTTTCGCTGCCTCGTGCCAAAGAAGAGATGTCATCATTGTCTGGGAAAAAGCGTTGATGGAATAGTCGTCACGAGCTCGACATTAGAGCT